GACAGGCTGAGACCTGGGTGTATTCAGTCTGGAGAAGTCTTTGAGGAGTTCTCATTGTGGCCTTCCAATGCCTCAAGGGGCCTCCAGGGAAGGTGGAAAGGACTCTGTCAGAAAGTATAGTGGTAGGACCAGAGGTAATGGCCTTAAACTAAAAGAGGGGAGAAATAGATTGGGTGTAAGGAAGTAATGCTTCACAATGAGGAAGGCAAGGCAGTGGCACTGCTGCCCAGAGAGCTGTGGGTGCTCATCCCTGCCGTGCCCAAGGCCATGCATGGGGCTGTGGGCAGCCTGGGCTGTGGGAGGTGTCCCTGCCCACGGCAGGGCTTTATGTCCTTGCCAACCCAAACCATCCTGTGATTCTATGACTTGATTATCTTGAAGGTATCTTCCATTGATGATTCTATGTCTATCTATATTGATCTATATTGATGATTCTATTCTTCTGTGATTCTATATCACCAGTTTCTTTCCAAAGCATCCCGACTCACACAGAGTCCCTGTTGGCTGAGTACTCATAACACAGCTATTGGGCTGATGTGGATGTAACCGGGCACACAAACGTGTCAAGGAAGATAAAATATTCAGTGTAATGTTCTGTGCTGCAGTCCCAGCATGGCCTGGTGTGGTACAGCAGCACATCAGGAGCACAATACCTAGCTCTCTTCAGGCAGATGAGGATTTTCTATGGTTCCATGATTCTGTGATTTGTATTCTCATTTAATACTGGGAGGTGGAAACCCAATTCGCAGAACATCTGAGCACTTGGAGGACCTCCACTTTTCTGACAGTGCTGCTATGAGCCATTCTGCAGAATTGCTGCTATGAGCCATTCTAGGATCTCCATTTCTCATCTGTGTTTCCAAAGCAGCAACCTGTGGTGCAGCCGATGGACTTTTGCACAGCTCTCAGATGAGTGGAATTCAGGAATTTGTTGTTACTTCCACACCGTACACAACTGCTTTTCTTTATAAATGCAGTGCATCTGTTAAAGACTTCCCCAGGGCTCTCTGGACCCCTCTGCTTTGTTTCCCAGGCATTGCTGCCTGTCTGGAAGCAGATGTGTGTGTGTCAATGCCTGATGCCCACGCAGCATCCTGCAAGCCAATACATGGAGCTGCTACAGGCTGACTTACAGAGTTAAAACCGAGGCCGGGCTGGTGGGAAAATCAGCCGTACCCTGCAGGAAATCTTCTCATTCAAACCCTTCCATTAGACTGTGACCAAAAGCAAAAGAGCTGGGAAAAAGCTCGAGTTTCCAATTACTTTGGAAGAAAGGGAGAGCAAAATTGGAACGGGATCGTTCCTCCTCTGGGCCGCGCTTCGTATTGTGGCTGCAATGATCCCCCCTGGGCACCGCTCACCCCCTCCTGGCAGCTCCGTCCCTGAACAAACGATACTTGGTTGCTTTTAATTGGGAGCAGCCAAAATAAGTGAATCCCCCGGAGATGGGGGTGAGGAGGGGATGGCAGCGAGGCACCCTGCTGATGAATGTGGCTTTCAGCTGCTCCGACACCCCCGCGGGAGGGAAAGAATAGGGGCTCTGTGAAGGCAAAACAGCCAGTGCCGACCTTGGGGTTCCTCTCTCTTATTTTCTTGTTGTTATTCCCCTTCTCGCTCCCTTTTCTTTAATTGCTCGTTGCTCTGTCCATCACATGATGGCTGCAAATTGCCAACTTGTTCTCGCTTCTCGGTGTCACAAGTTTGGTTTAAAATAAGCCTGCTGGATTCCTGATTTACTCCCTGTTTGTCTGAGCACTGCATGTGTTTCTTGTGATTTCGTTCTGTTAGCTTGAAAAAATGTCTGCCCCTCCTTCTGCACTGTAAAACCTGGCGTTTCCCAGCCAGGAAGAATCTCTGCTCTCAGTTCCCAGCCTTCCCCTAGAACTGCTCAAGGGCGATGCTTGCTGTATCCAAGATGAGACCATGGCAAAATCCTGGTGTGCAAGCCAGAGCCAGCCTGTGCCTGGTACAGATGCTGCTGTCCCTTTCATATGCTCATCAGCATGCAAAGCAGGCATGCCAGGGGCAGTGGAAATCACAGCGTGCCCCTTGCACCCATCTGCATCCTTGCACCCTGCTCTTTGCTTGTGCAATCCAGGCTTTGTCCAGGTTTTTCAGTTTCTGATGTCCCGGTGTCAGCACGAGTGTTTGTCTCCTCCATCTTTTGGGGAGCTCTGGGAGCCCTTTCTCCCTGCACCTTGTCATCATGAGCACCTTCCTGGAGGGTTTTGCAGCATTGTGCTGAGTTGAGGTGAAGATGTAGCACTGAACCCCCTGCAGGAAACCCAGATCCTTGGACCATGCTTAGTTAAAGGGATGCTGGGTGATGGAGTTGAAGCCACTATGCTTGGGTTATATCAGAGCAAATGCTGGAAGTTAGGTGATAGGACAGTGGGAAATGGTTCAGACTAAAAGAGGGGAAGTTTAAATTGGAAAAAGTTTCTTTGCCATAAGAGTTGTAAGGCAGGAACACAGGTTGCACAGAGAGGCGCTGGTGCCCCATCGCTGCAGCCAGCCACGGTCAGGCTGGATGGGCTGTGAGCACTGCTGGAGCTGTGGGTGTCCCTGCTCAGCACAGGGAGTGGGCCTAGAGGTCCCTTCCTGAAAGGTCTCTTTCAATTTGGACAGTTCTATGGTAAGCCCTCTTGCTTGGGTCCCATCAGAGCAAATGGTGTGAGAGGCAGAAAACGCATGGGAGCAGGTGGACAGACAGGTAGATGAGTTCAGGATGCCCAAAGCATTTCAGAGTCCATACTCGCACCCTTCCGCATCATGTAGAGGCAGCGGATGCCTAGGCAAATAGAGGCAATCAGCTGCTGCTGTACCAGGGCAGCCTGGTGGTGCACTGGCAATGGGTTGGGGCTCTACATGATGCATGCTGACCCCAGAGAGCCTGTCCTTGAAGCAGGCATGCTGCTGCAAAATGAATCGTCACGGTTGGGTCATGGGATCGTGCTCAAAACCCTGAGAAGCTGCTTTCCGTAGCTCAAAACTGCCTGTGCTGGAGGGATACCACCAGTTCATGGGGAGTTCTGCAGAGCCTGCCTGGGGATGTGAATACACACAGGCTTCATGTAGCCTCTTTGCACCTGGACCAGAAAGTCAAACATCATCTCAGTAGAACGTGCATAAAACCTTCCTGCCCTTCCCACCACACTGTGCTCAGCATCAAGTCCTGTCCAGCTCATCCACAGGAGATACAGGATCACTGAGGTTAGAAAAGACTTTCAAGATGGTCCAGTCCAACCATTAATCTGCGTGTTGGCTCTGCCTAGGATGGAGATAGCTTTCCCCACAGCTGCCCATATAGTCTTGTGCTGTTGTACTTGAAGCTAGAACAGCATTCAGATAGGGCAACAGAGGGGGAGTATTGCAATCTGCATAGCCAGAGCTGCTCTCCTTGCCTGGGCTCTGCTTTATCCTGAAGCTGAGGTCTAGATTAAGTTGAATGAATGAGTTTTTTCTTTCTCTATCAGCAATAAGGAGTCGGAACAGAGTGTATCAAATGAATGTGCCTTCATTGGAACTGGGGAGTATTGTCCATTTTTCACACCATCCCCTCAGAGTTCAAATCTGCCTTCCCAAATGTTGGCACGTATCCCCTAGCAATACACAAGCTGCTGAATGAAGCACATGTTCCATCATGGGTCTGCCCCCTCAGGACAGGAATAAAGGGAATCTGCCCATGTCAGACCCTCAGTGAGGGCTCTGCCTTCAGCTCTGCACAGCTGTGACCCTATTTTAGTTGTGACACTCCATTTTAGGAACCACCTTTCCTTCCAACTCTTGTAGGGTGGCTCCAGCAGACGCAGCAGCCACTTTCTATGTGGCAAAGAAGGAAAAAAAACCAAACAGGCCTGAGAGATGCTAACGAAGAAAGCCTGGAAAGCACAAGGAGAAAGAACTGGCTGGAAAATGCAATATGTCAGCTGTGACAGCTCCTATCTGCTAGAACAAGGAAGTAAAGTGAAAATGTTTTGTCTGATATCAGAAGCTTTGAGTTGTAAGGGGAAGTGGGAACTTGCAAGCCAGTGCAGAGTCTGCTCAGGCTTGGCTCTTTGTGCTATCTCACCCTGGGACTGTTCGTCAGCTCCCATCTCTGCTTTCACTTCCTCTTGGTTTTTAACATCATACGGTGTCCCCAGCTTGCTGAGGGCCTCCTGGTGTGTATCTGCTCAGAGCAGTCCTCTGCCTCTCACAGCAGATGCTACAAAAGAAAAATAAAGCATTTCCTACACTCATGCAAAATACTCATTAACATTTACTTACTTTCTGGTCGTCTCTATACACTTGGGTGTAAATGAGCTAAGGAGTCCAGCCCCAGTCCTGCAGATATGCAGCATTGGCTGGACACGAGTACAGAGCCTGCTTCACCAGCAGCAGATTCAGTCTAAGCACAGTCATGTGTGATGAGTTCTTTTTTCTTCCTTTTTTTTTTTTAATGTACTGTAAATGCCAGCAGGGAAGAGAAGCTTCTTGGGTGGAAGGGAAACAGGTTATTAGGGGTGAAGTCGGCACTGTGAGATTATCTAGCCCAGCTCCTCTCATTTCACTATCATCTCCCGTCCTGCTGCCTCTTCCATAGGGGGGAATGAGGGCTGTGGAATTCTCTCCCCTCTGCCCAACTGATTGCTGCAGCCCTGGGCATGCACCCCATCTGCAAATTATGTGGCAGGAAAGCCAGCCTTGTTTGTAGCCTCCAGGATTTGGTTGCAAATCCACTTAAAGAAAAGCAAGTTACCCTTAGATGAATCGTTATGTCCTTGTTTTGTCCCTGAGTGGTTTGTTCTGGCTGAAAGGGTGAAAAACCCCCTCCACAGGTGCTTGAGAATCATTTGAGTTGGAATGGGCATTTAAAGGCCATATGGTCCCGCTCCCTGCAATGAACAGGGACGCCTACAGCTCCATCGGGTGCTCAGAGCCCTGTCCAGCCTGACCTTGGGTGCCTGCGGGGATGGGGCACCCAGCACTGTGTTCCAGTGCTTCACTACTCTTATTGTAAAAAAAAACCTCCTTAAATGCAGCCTAAATCTCTCCTGAGATTTCCTCTGTAAAATCTCCCCTAACTGCTTCTTGCACCCCCTTATTGGCAGCTAGCCCTAAACATGCCCCAGGAGACTGCCAAGGAGGTGGGGACTAAGGGCAGGATGTCACGTTTCTGTTTCTATCTAATCTAGGCCGAACCACAGAGACATCCTCCTGTGTGCTGAATTCAGGTCTGCCTAGTCCAGAAAAGCCCTTTGCTTTGCCTCTCCAGGCAGGGCCTGCATCTTGATATCATCACAGAATCGTGACGTTTGGAAAAGCGATCTGCGATCCCCGAGTCCAACTGCAGCCCACCCCACCACGCTCACAGGCCGTGTTCCTCACATCTCCACGGTTCCTGAACACCCCCAGGGACGGTGACCCCCCCACCTCCCCGGGCAGCCCGTTCCTGTGCATCCCCCTTCTTTCTGCGGATAAATTCTCCCTGGTATTTGCACCGTGCTGTGTCTCACCCAGCGGCACTGCCACGCTCTTCTCCCAATGCCTTCCCATTAACATTTCCTCCCTCTCTCTTTCCTGCAGGGCACGAGGACGACGTCCCCTCATGATGACGGCCATCCTGGAGCGCCTCAGCACGCTGTCCCTCAGCGGGCCGCAGCTCAGCCGCCTTCCCCGCCTGCTGGAGGATGGCTTCCCCAAGATGCCGTGCACCGTCCCACAGGGAGAGGTGCCACAGCTCTTCCGTGAGCCGTACATCCACGCCGGGTACCGTCCCACTGGGCAGGACTGGAGGTATTACTTCCTCAGCCTCTTCCAGAAGCACAACGAGGTGGTCAACGTCTGGACTCATCTCCTGGCGGCGCTGGCCGTGCTGCTGAGGTTCAAAGCGTTTGTGGAAGGCGAGCAGCTACACCTGGATGCTTGGTCTCTGCCTCTGCTCATCTTTGTCCTCTCCTCTGTCACCTACCTGACCTGCAGCCTCCTGGCCCACCTGCTGCAGTCCAAGTCAGAGCTGTACCACTACACTTTCTACTTCGTGGACTACGTCGGGGTCAGCACCTATCAGTACGGTAGTGCCCTGGCCCACTTCTACTACAGCTCCGACCAGGCGTGGTATGACAAATTCTGGCTTTTCTTCCTCCCGGCAGCTGCTTTCTGTGGCTGGCTGTCGTGTGCTGGATGCTGCTATGCCAAATACCGGTACCGACGGCCTTACCCCATCATGAGGAAAATGTGCCAGGTGATCCCAGCCGGGCTGGCCTTCATCTTGGATATCAGTCCTGTCGCTCACCGGGTGGTCGTGTGTCACCTGGGGGGCTGTCAGGAAGATGCTGCTTGGTACCACACGTACCAGATACTGTTTTTCCTTATCAGTGCTTATTTCTTCTCCTGCCCGGTTCCTGAGAAGTACTTCCCTGGCTCCTGTGATATCGTTGGCCATGCCCACCAGATCTTCCACGCCTTCCTGGCTATCTGCACCCTATCGCAGCTGGAGGCCATTTGTTTGGATTACAAGAACAGGCAGGAGATCTTCCTCAAAAGACATGGGCCTTTCTCCATCTATCTCTCCTGCGTCTCTTTTTTCGGCTTGGTGGCTTGCAGTGCCATCACAGCTTACATCCTGCGATGCAGGATCAAGGCCATCCTGGCTAAAAAGGACTCCTGAGAATCGTGAAGGTGATGGGCCACCACCCAAAAAGGAAAAAATAATAAGAAAAGGGGCATAGCATCTTAGAGGCATAACTGGCTTATTTGCCTAACACACTGTGACTAACCTGGACCTTGGACTGGGGTGGAGGGCTGGATGCTTCATGCTGGGTGCATTTTCACAGCAGGAGCTGCATTCTGCCATGCAGGGGGACATGGGGTGTTTTAAGCCACAAAAGTCACTTAACCAAGGATACTGGAATAGGCATAGGTTCTTTGTTCTCTCTAGTGAACCTGTGGGAGATACCTCACCGAACATGAAGAATGGTAACCAGAGGGCTGTGCAACTGCAGAAGGGTTTTCTAGGGCACACAGCACAGGGAGAACCCAACATGAGGCCTCCGAGTGGCCATGTTGACATCTTTGGGTTTTGCCATTTCTGCTGGCCAAGGAGAGACTTGCTAACATCAAAAGCAGTTGTAAGATTTCATTTCTAGGGTTCATTCGCAAGGGCGTGTGTAACAGTGGCTGGACTAATCCTTTCCCAGCTCCAGCTCAGCTAAATCAGATTTTATCTATGACCCCTTGAAGTATCTCAGCAGCAGGTTGCTGAGGTGACATCAGCAAAGCATGCTTGCAGACCAAGACTTCACCTAGAGTCCTCTCGAATCAACTGGAACTGAACCTGGCCCCCACGTCTGCCAGGCGCTGCTGTGGCCCAGCCACCCCCTGGTTGGGGATGTTGGGTCATCTGTATCTTTTCTTTCTGCACAGTTGCACCATCTGTGGTGAAACTGCTTAGCAAAGCCCAAGCAGGCTGTCCCAGCTCTTCAGAGGCTCCTGCCTTCCATTTTAAGTGCTTACTTGCCCTTGAGGACTTGGCCCTGGAACGGGTTGGAGCTGATTTTCTTAGCTTTTCTCAGTAGCAGTAGTAGAGGTTGAGCTCCCCTGCGACTAGCGATCAGCATTGAAGATGCTGGCAGTGGGAGGGGAACTGTATTTGTGGAGAGAAGTGCCTCTTTTTCTGCCTGCGTGACATGTTCATACATTCCTGCAAAGCCTGATCCTGTATCATCTGCCATGGGAGTCTGACTGGCCTCCAATTCTGACCATGCAGCACAGAACTTACTTGGGTGTGATCTGTCTGGTATGGGAAAGCCGCTGGGCTCTGGGCCTCCTAGGAATGGTCATGGCCGAAAGAGGATGAAAGTGAAGTGGATGTGGAGCCTTTATTCCCTTTTTAATGGTCCTTTTCAGGATGCCAAGCAATCCTTGGTGGACCTTGTGGGAAAGATGGCCGTGAATCTGCAAGGTTGCTCTTCTCTGACTTATGGGGCTTTGAATCAGGCATGTTTTTATCGGCATTAGATGAAGGTAGAATGGCAAAAGGCAGGAGCAGGTTGACAGAATTAAGGTGTTTTGTAACCTTGGAATGGGTTTGTCCTTGGAACTTGGAGGTTCTTGTGTGGAGCAGCAAATATAGTGGTCAGGAACACTGGTGTCTGTGAGTCACTGCTGTCCAAAGAGCAGGAAGGGTTGTTTTATGGTGTCCTCAGCTAAACGAATCTCTTCTGTAATTGCTGGAGGGATATTTGAGGTATGGAGCCATACTGTGGCACTGAAGTTAGCAGCACTTACAGGACTGGATGCTCTGAGCCCATACAGATAGATTCCAGACTACATACCTTCTGGTCAACGTACTTCTCGCTTTTCACAGTTAACTCTGAGTCCTTCCAGCTGTATTCTTACAGAAGAGCTGAAGCCTCAAATGTCATGACATCTATACCACGATATATAAATCTTCACTGAAAGCAAGAAAGATGTGGGATCAATTCCAGCCACAGATCTGAATCCAAGGGCAGGCAAATGAATGGTGGTTGCTGGTGTCGAGCAGGAAGACTTTAGGGTTGAGGAGATGATTTGTCAAGGCAAGCACTGATTTCTGCACTTGATCTGGTTTTTAATTATTGAGATGTGTTTGGGCATGTGCATGCATGCCTGATTTAATACCCAGAAAGGTTTTGCCTTCGGCTTTTTTATCTACAGAGCGTCCTAGCTGGGTCAAGATTAGCTTGAAGGAAGTAATGCCGTGCTGCTGGAGGAGCATGGGGGCCAGACAACAACATCTCTGAAAACTCACCTATCAGTAGGTACCTGGCTGCAACAAAAAGAAAGGTTTTGTGCACAAACCTGAAACTCTGGCCTAATTGATAAATTAAAGGATGAAGAGAGCAATTTTTGATCACAAGAGAAGAAATCACGGGAGAAATTTGGACATCTAGTCCATCCTTTCCCCTCACTTTGGGCTTCCTTGTTGACATCTAGCCCAGCTTAGGAGCACTCAGAAATTGGTAATGACTTCATTTCCTACGCTGCTTATTGACTTACCCCTCCTCACACTGCACCTTCTGCACAGAGGTTTAGCTGACTATGGAGCAAGAAAATGGCTGGGAGATGGACCAGCAGAAAAGCAACCCTACTGAAAAAATGTCAGTGATTTTCTCCTGGTTTTAACATCCAGCCAGCTTAGTTGGGCAGCAGGGCTGCCTGCACACGTGGGTCTCCTCTCAGTTTGGGAGAAGACTTCCAGTAGGAGCAGGTAGGCTGCTTCTCACAGCCAAATTTGCTTTGCCTTTGTGGCAGATAATGGAGAATAAGCCAGTTACAGGCCGGTCCACGGTTTTGTTCTGAACTAAAACGGAGGGAGTGGGCATTGCTGCTAACAGCAGACTGTGCTGTTATCACTTAGTAATACTGGTATCAAAAGACAGGGGTCACCCAGGCGTTTGCTTCTCTAAAGCTGTGAAAATATGTGATGTCCAGCCCCTGGCTAAAGGAGGATGATTGCAGTAATGCTGTCCAGTTCCCAGCAGGGTAGGAGGAGGTCCTTCATGAATTTCCTGAGGTATTTCTGGTCAAATGTCATCTCCGTGCTACAGCAGAAATGGAACTTCTCCTTCTGAATCAACTGTGGTGTGACAGTAGTGGTGTTTCTGCATATCCCCATGGTACCCCTCAAATGAAGCCACTCACGTGCCCGCGTGGCCCTGCACTCAGACCTGGAGCTGACTTCCTCATTACTATGATGGGTCAATTTTGCAGGCAACTGCCACCCAAATTGCTGCTGCTGTGAGGGTGCACCCTTGGTGTCCAAAGGGACTTGTCTACACTGGAGCTTCCCCTGTCTCTGTCTCCATCCTCCTCGTCTGCCTCCAACAAAGAGGTTTGTTCCTTCACCCCAGGACTTGTGCCTTACGCACCCGGCTGCCTACCTGAGCAAACTCAACATGCTGAGCACTCTGTTCCACCTCAAGAAAAGGACCTGGGAAGTGGCTGCCAGTGCCCTCCTGAGAACTGTGCTGTTGATCTAGAGGAGACCAGAGCTGCTGAGACAGTAAAAGTGCAGCTGTGCTAAACTGAGAGCCTGCCAGGGTCTTCTCCTTTGGGCTCGCTGCTTGGAGCACGGCTTCGTCCATCCTGGTGCTCCTTTGAGGAGGCACGGCCGGGCTGGGTGTCCTGGTGGCAGGGAGTTAAGCACTTTTTGGATCCTGAAGGCCCTCACCCTCAAGAATCTCTGGCCCTACGATGGTACTGTAGCAGATCTCACAAGTTGGATCTGCGCAGGTCAGCTGAGCAGTCATCCCAATGTGCCTTATGCTGTTACCTGCAGGGATTTATACCGAAGGAACCAGGGGCAGCCTCTTTGTTATCTGCTGGTCTGTGGTGGAGCAGAAGGGGGAGGATGGAGAGAGGTACCTTAAACTCGCCTTAAACTTGGATTTTTTGCCTAGTGATTTGTGTAGCAGGGCAAGGACGGGTTCCTCATGTGCCTTGCAATTTACATTTTTTACTGACAAGATTATTTTTAAGCACTGTTTGTTACTAAACAGAAGGACAAAAAGAGTTTGTTTTTGTTTCTTTCCCCCTAGGAAGTAGAGAAGGGTCTGGGGGTTAGATATTAACCATCCCCTTCCCACCTTCCATCTGCTGACTTTGTATTGTTGAAAACATTGGTAATGTTTTAAGCTTTGTACTGTACTGATCGTTATTTAAAAACCTCCAGTGAAAAAACAAAACAAAACAAAACTGTGAAAGTAAAATGATCGGTGTGGTGTGAAGTTCCCAAATGCACAAAAAAGGTTATGAATCATTGGGAAGAAAGCATGGCCACACACAATCACATACATGCCCCACCTCTAGGATATCCATCGGCGTGAATTTCAGTCGCTTAGGAAGTCAGCTCTTTTTCCTTCTGTTAGCACTGTGCCAGTCATTTCAATCGTTATTTCTTATCGTCGCATACAGAGCGAGGCCTCTGTGCTGCTGTGCTTCCACCCAGCAGAGGGCGAGATGCCTTCACCTTCGTGGCTGCAAGAGGCCCGAGTGCCACGAAAGCACAGCCTGCAGGCCCTGCTGGAACTCTGCAGACAGGCTTAGGGAAAAAATGCTCCCACTCAAGCGGGCGTGCAGCCAGCCCTGCAGAGAGATGCATTTCCGAGCCAGGGATGTGCTTTGCAAACGTCTCGCCCTCTGCGTAAGTGACAGGGATTTTGCCAGACAAGTGAAGCCAAGGTTTTATGTTTCCATGAAGTAAAAGCTGAAGAAGAATGGGACAAAACAGAACAACAAGGCTGTTAACCTTGTTAACAAGAAACAAAAATAGAGGCTTGTGGTATGCTGCTTGGCAATACTGCTCCAGGGAATGCACTTCCTACGTGGCCTTTCCTATTTGATTTTACGCATACAACTCCTCAGTGCCTGGAAAGCTAGAGGCTGTTATTAGCAACAGAGGGAACGGGCTTATCCCAAGCAGATGAAGTCAAATGCAAAAAATACAAGAGCTTCCAAGTCAGAGGAACAAAGCATTTTGGTCTGTCTCCTTCACACAGAGGGGGGAATGAGAGAGAAGGTATGATCTCGAGCACCTGATACTGCTGCAGATATTCTCAGTTATGTCAGAAGAGAGAGTTCTTTTACCCCAAGGCAATCTTTGCCTGGTTTTATCCTTGCAGATCTCTGGGAATATGAGGCAGAGCCTCAGCGAGCAGCTCCAAATGAGATATTTCCTTCTTTCTTTTGTTAAGCAGCTGTTGATGCTCGGCTCTGCAAGTAGGTCAGGGGAAGAATGCTTCCCCACGTTGCCTGCTGCTCCTCCTGAATCCAGAGAGAGAAGTATGTTCATCCAGCGTGAAAATGAGGATTGAACATACCTGAAACATAAGGGATTAAGCCACCTGCTGGGTCTTAAACTCTGCAGCTGTCCCCAGTGACAGCTTATTTATTCTGACGTTGTTTGCTTTGTTCAGGTTGGAGGTAAGATCCGCTCTCAATCAAAAGCAGTTCCTCTAGCTATAAAGTGAAGAGCGCTAAGCTCATTTTTTAGCAGCACCCTCACATGCCTTTATCAAACTGGGGCCAGGGGGATAGATGGCGTGTGGAAGAAAGGAAAAATCCAAGTGTGCAATGTACAAATGACAACAGAGCAGTGTAGAAAGCATTCTGATTTATGAATCCCTGATTTTACCAGGCTTGTGGGTATCACATTTCAGCCTACTGCTAGCAAGCCCATACTTCAAAGTGTTTTTTAACAAACCCTTTGTAAGTAGTCCTTGGATCCCTCAGAGCACAGACAGGGCATACTGAAACGTCAGCCATTGCTGTAGCATGGGGATTCACAGGTTGGGCTGTTTATTGCCAGACATTACAGGGGTGTGAATAGACATAACAGCACAGCCTTTCCTCCAAAACACATGGGCTTTCAGCAGGTAAGAGCTAGGAAATCTTGATACAGGAAACACTGATCCTTTTGCTTTTCATGAGCAGAGTTGTAGAGATGCAAGAGGCTGACGAGGCTTGTCTTAACCACGCCAAGACTGATTTGAATGTACAGAAGTTGGTGTCAAAGATGCCCCTTTCTGCCACGACTTTCTTCATCCCCATCTGCCTTCAAACACTCAGAGGATCTGAAGTGTTCTGATCCAGTCCCTGCTCATGTCTGGAGCCGAAGCTTCTACTCTGTGACCCTGCATAAATCTCATGGCCTCTCTTTGCTTTAGTTCGCCCCTGCAAACTGTGGGATTGCAGCTCTCCTGCCCCACTGCAAGCTGTGCATAAGAGGCACTTGGCCACGCAGCCTTGTAAAAAAGCTGCTGTCACTACCTTACAGAATAACACACGGCCCAAGGAGGCAAGTTTCCTTCCCTGAGGAAGGCACTGGCCCTTGTTGTGCCCAAGATACCTGCTGAATGACGTCTGGATACCACAGCAGGAGCAATCAGACATTGCTTATGCCCCATCGCCCACATCCAAGTTCCTCACTGTCTGCTTGCTGCCTTTCAGCCCTGCTTGGCCTTCAAGCTATTCCCCTATTTTGAGCTCATCAGACGCCTTTATCTCTCCCTGCTGCTTTTTGTCTCTGTTTTTCTCTGCTTGACTTCTGCTTACAAACCCTCAGATCCTGCTGCCTGCCTGTGAATCACAGCCTGCTCTGCTTTAAAGGCACCAAAGGGAAGAAACACAAAACCCTCTTTTCTCCATGGTGATTGATGTAACTCTCTTTATCTGTTACACTTCAGAGCAACTTTTCCACAGGAACTTTCCCTTCCTGCTTCCTAAACGTGAAAACTCACATTGAGGGGAACCCTTGTCAGTGTCACAACCCCCTATCTCACAGCTAACATGTATGTATATATATATAGCAGACGGTAAATGAGCACAAGCTCTTTTCCTATTGAGTATTTTGAGCGCCGAGGTACAGATCTGCCCCTCCTTTTCTCCCGCCAGGAGGCCAGGCTGCTGCCGCCTGTTCTGAAGACAGGCACTGTTTCAGTCCCACGCACACAGACCCAACTGCGCGGGGAACATGGCTGCAGCCTGCAGCAGGCTGAAGGACGTCTCAAATGAGAGAAATACGATCAGGAACACCTTCCCCAGCCCCAAGGCGGCCGTTTTTGCACACAACGCGGCCGGCGGCACCCAGGGCCCAGCCCCACAGGGCGCGCGGCCGGGCCAAGGCCGCTCCCGCCTTCCCGTTGCCACGGCAACCCCTCTCCCTTTCGCTCAGGGCGCAGGCGCGAAACGCCGGGGCGGCTCAGTGCGCATGCGCCCTTCTGCTTAGTGAGCATGCGCACTGGGGCGCGCCCAGCGGTTGTCATGGAGACGGCGTCGCTGGGAGCGAGCGCAGCCGCCATGAGCTCGGAGCCGAGGTCGGGCCTGCCCTTCCTACCGGGCTGCTCCTTCAGGGACCCCATGGTGAGCGCAGCGCCTGGGCAGCCCAGCTCCCGGGAACCCTCGGCATCGGTGCCTCAGGCCCCTTCCATCCGGGGTACCCCCCGTCCCTGCCTGGTCTTGCAGCCCTGCTGTAGGAGCCCTGTGAGGCCTCTGCACAGCCCAGCTGCTCCAGGATCCTTTCAGTGAGCTGTGCCTGTCTGGTTCCCTTGGAAGCCTGGTGTCTCTGAGCACATTCCCAGGGAACCTGGTACTCCTTCAGACCCTTCTCTAACTCCCCAGGAGACCTGTTATCTCCAAATTCACCTTATATCTCCTCAAAGGCCTAGCCTAGTCAGCCTGCCTGACTAATCCCCACCTACTAATCCCCATGAGAGGTTGGGTACCTCCTCAATTAACTTAAAATCCCTGAGGGAACTGGTATCCTGTGAATACCTTACGCCCCAGCTCACCTGACACCCCTCAGGATATCCACTAGTGACTCTCAAAGGACTTGAGATCCCTGTAAACTCACCCAAGGGATCTGATACCCACTGAACTCTTTTCCCAGGGAAGCTGGCTTTTCCCAAAGCCAACAGCTGCCTGCTGAGCTCGCTCCTTGGGGAACTGAACTCTCTGAACCCACCTGCTGCCCCTGACCTCATCCACAGGAGCTCCCTCAGCTCTCCCAATGCAATTTCAAGTCTGTTCCCAGACAAGCAGATACAGCTGAGCCCAGCCTCCTTGGTGCTTTTAAATTCATCCCCAACATACCATTGCATCTTGAATCTGATATCTCCTTAAACTGCCCTGATAGCTTTGGAGAGTAAGGTTTCCCAAAACAGAACCACTATCTGCAAACGTAACCCTGGGAGATTTAGTACCCCTGAATCCATTCTTTAATTGCCCTGCCAATTCATATGATACCCCAAGGGAAGCATTACTCCAAAACTGACTTTATAAACAGGCAGACCACTGTTTCTCTGAACCACCTCAGTTTTCTCAAAGGGATGTGTTCTGTTTCCTTCGTGGCTCTGGGCAGCCTGGTCTGCTGGTTGGTGACCCTGCACACAGCAGGGGGTTGAAATTAGATGATCACTGTGGGCCTTTTCAACCCAGGCCATTCTGTGATTCTGTGGGCCTACTTCTCATTCTGATACTGCCCTGAACCAGGACCCATACAGTCACCTGATGCTTCCATAAATGCCTTCCTTCTATCCCCTGGAGAATTTAATCCTTGATAGGGAGTATGGAACTGATGCTTTGGAACCTGAGAACTGACAGTCTGTTCAGAGAACTGGTATCCCTCCACTGAACTGATACTATTGCAGCCTCCAGGATTCTCAAGGAAGTGATACTTCTCAGCTGTACTAATATTCCTTGGAAGAAGTAGCCTCATCCTCTGCATCTGAATAGATACCTAAACAAGGAAGGTATTTTTTCCCCACTCCCACTGGTCCACAAGTTGAGGATTTGATAACCCCAAATCTTCCCAATATCCTCTTGCAAAAGCAGTACCACAGATGAAAAGTGATACTCCCCAAGTTCCTTCCAGCACTGTTTTGGAGCAGCTGACAACTCTGCACTTCCTTCTCCATGGGAAGTGAATATCTCAGGTCTTGACACTGTAACTCATCTTCAACTCAGTGCTATTATAATGGCAGTCTGAGAAACCAATGTCCTTGAATTTTCCTGACAGCTTCTCTCAGAAGCAATGTTCACAACCTTCAGTAGGAAATGGATACACCAGGGCATGCTTGATATCTTTGTGGAACTTAATAGTTTTAAGAGTGGGCTCCTCCATTTCCACCCAGTACCTGGAAACGCCCCAACATGCTCTGGCATTGCAGGATGAGGAACATCATGCACTTGCATGTGATCGTGGGGCATTCTC